CTCCCCACGGGGAGAGCCGATTCCTGCTCCTTGCCGGGGCCAGCTCTCGGCCATGGGGTGAGGAGCCACTCTTGTACTACCCTAGCAGAAAACCCTTTGCTGCCTTTTGTCAATCAGTCCTCTGCCAGTTTAGCAAGGTGAAATGGCTGGGAGCAAAGTGAGGAGTCAGCAGCCAGTGCAGGGAGAAGGCTGGGTCCCGTGCCAGGAGGAGTGGGAAAAGCCAGCCTACGGCAGCTCGGCTCGGACTGCTGCGGAGCTGCAACCTGGGCGGCCAGGCACTCGGCTGTGCAGGCGTGATGCAGGGTGTGGTGCCAGCAGCTGCCCAACTCCCTCTAAATCAGCTGATCCAAATCTGGGAGGAACAGCAGGCACCTCCTGAGCTGAGCCGGGGTGCACGGCGCTGCTCTGGAGCCTTGCGGTGAGCTGCGCTGGCAGACAACTAACCCCTGGAAAACAGAAGATGATGGCTTTTCTGCCAGATCAGCCACTGGGTCTGGTTTGCCAAGCAGCTGCGTACAGCGTTGCACTGGCACAACAAAGAGGATGCGAGCGACTGCCGAGGAGTTGGGATTGCTTAGACCACTTTGAACAGCTCTGGCACCAAAAAAGTGTAACCATGGCCACACAGATGACCCTGAGCTGATAGGACTCCAGTTGTCTGCAGAGCCTTTGTGAGTCCAAGCCTGGGACAAGTCCTTATTGAATTGGCTCTCTAGGACAGGCTTTAATGAGTGCTGGATCTGAGCTCCAGCGGGAGGGCTTGGAGGGGGGGGCGTCACCTCTCCTTCTGCATAATATTTGAATGCATTCACATGCCCCTGCAGAACTGAGGGGTGGGTGGTTGGCTGTTCTCCCATTCCAGTTTATTGTGAGTCCATAACATTTTTGCTCCCTGAAGCATTTTAGTTTCTTTGTGCATTTCTTTGTTGCTCTGGTGCCAGTTCTGGAGGTTTTGGTGGCCCCTGCCCCCCAGGGAGCATTCACAGCAAGGTGAATTCGCAGCACCATTGCAGGGGGCTGTGTAATAGCACCCCTCCTTTCCTCTCGCTTCACCCCGAGCATGCGCTGCCTGGCCAGCACTACAGGGGCTTACAGAGCTGCTGCATTCTCCGTGAAGATCTTCTCCCTCCACACACACCGAATCTGTCCATGTAATCTTCGGGATGCTCCCCTGTGTCCCAGGCTGGGCTGCACTCATTCACAGTGCTGATCGTCCTCTCCCTCCCCAGCAAGCAGGATCACTCTGGAGCGAGCTGCGATCGTGACTGTTGTGAAACAGTTTAACTTCCTATGGGAGCGGCAGCCCTGGCCTGTCAGCCTGTGCCTGGCGCTCACAACGCCTCCAGCCCTCACAGCCCTGCTTCCTTCTCCCTGACGTGTGCACATGCACGCTCCTGCACGCACACCCGTCCCTCCTCTGGCATGCCTTCTGTGCCCGACAGTTTCCCAGCGGCCAGAACCTGCCCCAGGGAGCGTGCCAGCAAAGGGGATGTGTCGGCATGCCAGGGGGGCCATGGCTCCCAGAGCCGATGGGGAATGCATGAGGAAGATGGATACGGGTCCTGCCAGGAGGTCCCCAAGGAGGCAGCTCTGCCACCCCATC